TGATTGATCTGGAACATCTTGATTTATGGTACCTTAATTTTTTGTAAACAAAGAATAAGCTAGTATGGGAATGTTATTCATTGAGTTATACACTTATATGGCTAATGGCTTAAGTTTCAGCGGCTCTACTCTTAGCTACATGCCTATTGTATCTAGCCTACTGCTGAACGACTGAACGTAGCAGATTAGAGTTGTTGTGAGCTGATAATAAGACTTTTGTTCGTGCTTCTCAGGATTTTAGCTGTTTCAGCGGCTCTACTCTTAACTAATTTTTTTATTAGTTAGTCCCTGACTCAAACCTTTGATTTATTGTATAGTGTGATTTGTATCATGGAAGTTGGATTTATGATCCTCGAGGACCTTCATACACAAACAACTCTTGCCCTATCGTAACGCAGATGCGGAACTGCCAGGGCAATGGAAGACCTGACAAGGGAAACGAGAACTGGAGATGGAAACCGTCTGAGTGTTGACCTTCCTCGGTTTGATTCCAGGAAAATTCTTGATCTAATGAAAGGCAAGACAATGGCCTTTATAGGCGATTCAGTAGCTCATAATCAGACGGAGTCCATGTTGTGCCTTCTTTGGCAGGCCAGTTATTTTTCTATTTGAAGTCATTTGTCTCACATAGTTCAATTGAAACTTGTAAAAGGGATCCTGTGTATTGCTTTATTCAACTTCAGGAAATTGTATGTATTATATTAATGTAGATTGCTGTTTTCAGGTTGAAACACCGGTCAATCGTAGGAGCCGAAAGATGTAGCGATGGTATTTTAAGTCATCATCGGTAAATAGCCAGGATTTGGTCATCTTGAAATAGCCAGGACCACAACGAATTTTTTTGATTATTCTCCTGAATGTGTCACCAAACTAAAGTTGGACCTTCCTGATGAGCGCATAATAGAAGCTATCCCAAATTTCGACGTTGTGGTCCTCTCATCAGGGCATTGGTTTGCAAAGCAATCTTTCTACATTTTGAAGGACGAGATAGTGGGAGGCCAATTGTGGTGGCCAGATAAATCAAAACCCATGAAAGTCAATAATGTCGAAGCATTCAGAATATCATTCGAAACAATCCTAAAGTACATGGCTACACATCCGAACTACACGGGTTTGACCATTGTGAGAACATTCTCACTTGATCACTACGAGGGTGGTGCTTGGAACACTGGTGGATCATGCACCGGGAAAGAAGAACCGATCCTTCCTGGGAAGCTAGTGAAAAACGGGTTCACAGAGATAATGTATGAGAAGCAAGCGACAGAGTTTAACCGAGCTGTGGAAAAAGTCTCAGAAACTTAAGTTCAAGTGGATGGATATTACAGAGGCTTTTGGATATCGCCATGATGGTCATCCTAAGAACTAATTTCACCTACATCAAGTTTTATTTTGTTTGTTTGCCTAATAACATGTTTCATTTTTCCATTACTATTTTATGAGCAACATCTATTGACAATTGTAAAACTAAAACATGAGTTCTAAATTTTTTTAGTGTTAGGCAAGAGCTAGAGAAAGTGAAAAAATATGTTGAAAATATGAGGAAAATGATTTGCCTTAATTAGGCTGAGACACACGTTTATCCCTTAGATGATATCCCAATCAACATGTATCACTGATTTACTGTTGTTTCTTTTGCAAACATATTCTATGAAGTTTGTATCCATGATAATATGTCCATGATTAGATGTCCACAATAATGTATCCATGATACTATTAATTCATCTCACGAAATTGATAACATGTACATGATAGTTTTTATGCAATTAAAAAGAACCACCAACGAAAATAAATTTTCATGATAATTTATATGAAATATGAAATCTCGCACAAATTAACAGATGTGATTTTGGTGGATAAAAAGGCTGATAGTTTAATAACTAATGTTCAACATGTGAACGGTGTATCATTTTGGTAGTAAACAAGCAAGCATGATTAGATATTAAAATCATCATTTATTACATGTAAGTTCTTATACAAGAGTTAAAAGAGGCCTACCCGATGTTTTTGGTTTTATAATTCCATTTGAATTTGGATCCGAACATGATGATACAATTAAGAACTTTTGTGTATTGTAATTGTACGATTTTATTCAAATCATGAAAAATATGTTAAATTTAATGTAAACATCAACAGTTTCTATGGTTAATAACATCGACGTGGTGGTGCCAAAAAGATAGAGAAACTGCAACTTAATTAAGTAGTATTTTTTTTTTAATTGATATACAAATTTTTTGAAAATAAAATGGATTGACAATGTTTGTAATCAATATTAACACTTAACTTATTTATCAGATAATGTCTACTAAAATATTTTATTATATATAAATCACAGTTCTCTTCTACAAATTTTTTTTATCTTTGTTTTTAAAATTTTCAATGTAATATTTCAAATCGCAATACCATGTAGATGTTTTATAGTGTTTGGCATTTGTAAACTGATTTTAGTTCATTGTTTCCACAATGATTTTTATTTGTTCATGATAAGAGAAAGTTTTTAGGTTTTTATCATCTATGAC